ACCAAAAAAGAAGTTGGAGATAAAGGTGTGTTTCAGGTGAGACCTTAAAATAAGTTTTAGATACAAGTGTGACATCTTTGCTCCCAACTTCCCAGGACTATGGGGACTCGTGAACAACGCCGGACGCTCCCTTCCCATGGGTCCATCAGAGTGGATGAAAATCGAAGACTTCGAAAACACGCTCAAAGTCAACATGACTGGTGTTATCGAGATGACCATGAACTTCTTTCCTCTTGTCAAAAAAGCCCGTGGACGAGTGGTGAACGTGGCATCAGTGTTGGGAAGAGTGGCAGCTAACGGCGGAGGGTATTGCATCTCAAAGTTTGCGGTGGAGAGCTTCTCTGATTGTCTCAGGTATCACACGTCAATAAATACAATGGTTTTTATGTGGCTGTAGTATTGTTTCGACCTTTGAAACCATTTACCTTTAGTCTTTAAAGAAAACCTCTTGATTTTGCATTCAATTTCAGGAGGGACATCCAGAATTTTGGGGTCAATGTGTGCATCATCGAACCTGGTTTCTTCAAGACACAGGTGACCAGCCTGGAGCCTATCGAGAGGGAACTTCATCGCCTCTGGAACCAGCTGACGCCTGAAGTGAAGGAGAGTTATGGAGACAAATACTTGGATCAATGTATGTTATTTATGCCAACAACTACTTTTCTCCATTTCTCCAAACATATAGTCTTAACTATAAACATTCCATAATACAGTAGAAGAACCATTTTTGGTTCACCAAAGAACCTTTCAGTTGAAGAATTCTTAAAAGAACCATAGTGTGAAGATCATTTAATAATCTAAAGAAAATATTTCTACTATAAGAACCTTTTGCGCACTGAAAAAGTTTCCATGGATGTTAAAGGCTCTTCATAGAACCATCAATGCTAATAACGTACATTTATTTATAAGAGTATAGTCCATTTAGACACTCTTTGTCTCTCCAGATATCAAGATCCAGAGGCTGATCATGAACACCATATGCGACTCCGACCTCAGTAAAGTGACCAACTGCATGGAACACGCCCTGCTGGCCGTCCACCCAAGGACACGCTACAGTGCAGGCTGGGATGCCAAGCTCTTGTGGATTCCCTTGTCTTATATGCCCGCTTGCATTGTAGATATTGCCCTGAAGCTGGTGTTGCCAAAGCCAGCAAAAAGTGTCTAGATTTGGAAGTGATTGTAGGCCAGATATGTTTAACTCTTAACCTTTCATTTTCTTCTTATGATACACTGGATGATGCTTTATTCTGGGGTCTTACTAAGTAACTAGAGTTTACAAACACTGTGTCTGTAAATTTAATAGTGTATTTATGATGCAAAGTTATCTGGTAACTGGACACTATCAGTAATTTTGTATATTTATGAACCATTATGCAACGTAATTAAAATGTGCCTTGAAAATGCATCACCAGTTTGTGCCCGTTGGTCATCTAATGTAGATGTGTTGCTAGAGTGGCCTTTGGTGTTATATTTGTATGAAACGGTCAGAGTTACTGCTAATTAAGTTCATATAACTGTATAAACATAATTCAATAAATGTTATAAGAATATTTTCTATGCACTGCCATCTGTGCACCAATCTCTTCCCAGAAAGAAAAAAAA